TCTAAACGACCCGTTTAATTTGACCATGGGGTCTGCTGCGATGATGCTGAAGTCATCCTGCCGTGCGAGAGCAGAGATTGTGTGGGAAGAGGCAAGCTTGCAATTAAAACAAAGTTTTTTGACGTATTATATCTGTCTACATTTTTTTTTTTTTCTACGAGCTGGAGGAAATGCAGCCCATCTGTTGCTTTGGGCCGTGCTGAATTCTCACTTACCAGATACAGAATGATAAATGTCACTGGGCATCTGTTTTTATTGCTCATTTTACAGAAGATTCCTTTGTCGATATCTCTGGTTGTGTCTTTAAAAGAATGAACTTAATGTCTGTCTGTGGCACACTGGGTGTCTGGCTCATCCATCTATGTGGATAAACGAATGGGAAATGCATTTACAGTTATTGTATTTTTTGTTGAAGCACTTATAGCATTGTGCGTAAAGTTTAGATTGAAAATAACCCGAATATTCCATTGAGTCACGCAATGAAAGTTTTTGTTATAATGGGTGTGAGTGGGCGACAATACGGCACAAAAATTCTCACTTACCAGATACAGAATGATAAATGTCACTGGGCATCTGTTTTTATTGCTCATTTTACAGAAGATTCCTTTGTCGATATCTCTGGTTGTGTCTTTAAAAGAATGAACTTAATGTCTGTCTGTGGCACACTGGGTGTCTGGCTCATCCATCTATGTGGATAAACGAATGGGAAATGCATTTACAGTTATTGTATTTTTTGTTGAAGCACTTATAGCATTGTGCGTAAAGTTTAGATTGAAAATAACCCGAATGAAACGCAATGAAAGTTTTTGTTATAATGGGTGTGAGTGGGCGACAACACGGCACAAAAATTGTCTCAGGGATAGCAGTGTTTTTAATGGGTCATATAATGAGAAATCAAATTTTCATTGGCCTTTCGAAATAACAGTTCATTGTATTCTGAAAGCATGTACTTTCAGAACTTAAAACTTTCTTCGCTGTTTAAAAAAAAAATAAACAAAACCATTCATCAAAACTAAGCTGCAAAAACAACTCGTTCTGAACTACTGACACTGGTCAGATGAGCAAATAGAGCACAAATTCACACATTCACACATCAACAATATATCTATTTGGTATTCAAAACTTGGCACTCACAGTCACAGTGAAATAATAAGTTTAATTTAGATTATTATTCAGATATTTCTATTTCCAGACACCAGAACATTTTTAGAAATGATAGGAAATAATGCCAAACTTTTTGCTCTGTGTAGCACCTGCTACTCTGCATTTCTTTTCTGAAGAATCTGTTGGAAACTTGGCCCAGAATAAACAGTCACCAACTGCCAAATGTGATTTCAAAAATGGAATGTGGCTAATAAGGCCAGTAACTTTTCAGAAATATAATATAACTGTGAAAATAATAGATGGTTCAAATCAAATCACTCTAAAATCGAAGACATACGGACCTAATATAGACGTCTTCTAATGACTAAAAATTGGGGATACCCAATCCTCTCCAGAATGGAATGTGCCAACAAATCTGAATGAAATTTCTTTCTTTATGTACAAATATTTTTGTATATATTTAAAAATATTTATTTAAAATATTTTTTTTCTTTCTCAATTCACCTATACAATTAGCAGGTGTGGCAAAAAAAATAAACAAATAATTGGACAAAATGGTCTGAAGTTCAAATCACTCTAAAATCGAAGACATACGGACCTAATATAGACGTCTTCTAATGACTAAAAATTGGGGATACCCAATGCTCTCCAGAATGGAATGTGCCAACAAATCTGAATGAAATTTCTTTCTTTATGTACAAATATTTTTGTATATATTTAAAAATATTTATTTCAAATATTTTTTTTCTTTCTCAATTCACCTATACAATTAGCAGGTGTGGCAAAAAAAATAAATAAATAATTGGACAAAATGGTCTGAAGTTTGATTATTTTTAGCTATCATTTCAGTTTGATCTAAACCGTTTGAGCGGCACATTTCAATGCAGATTGCTTTGAGAATTAGTCATTATTAGTCACAGACTGGTCTTCAAGGAGCTAACTATAGCGCTACCTATATTGGGCCTGAAGGGGAAAAAAACAGTGATAGTTTCTCTTCAAGCCCACTTCTCTTCTGATGAGGAGTCACCAGTTTGTTTAAAAAAGAAAAACAATCTTTGTAGAACAGCGGGTTCGCAGTTCGCTGTGGGTCTCTCTCTGTCTCTGTCTCTCTCCATCCGGACACATGTCACGAGAGGTGTGACATCTTGTATGATAAATCACTCTCATTGTCCTCCCTCCCATCCTCCCCATCTCTTGTTCTCAGTGTTTGTAGTTTCACTTTCATTTCTCAGCCTCCCATCCCACTCCCTGTTCATCATTAGCGGGATAATAGCGAGCGATTGGTCATGTGACTCGGGGGCCTTTGTTAGCAGTGTAATGTGATTATATGACCTGCAGGAGACTGAATGAGTGTGATGTGATGGAAATAATCTTGACAGCCTGTGTGACTGAGCGACGGAGGGCTGCCATATGCCCTCTATGATGTCTTGAATGAGAGGGAAAATCCCTGTGCGCACATCGGTGGCAGCGCCTCCCTGTTCTTTAATTGCTCATTGGATACGCTGTCACTGTGTTTACCTACTGGTCTGTGAATGCAGCTGCTCCGTGTGTGTGTGTGCTGAAGGTCAATGGCAGTAGCTGCATTTCTTTCCATAGAAAATTTGGAGCCATAATGTCTCCTTGACTGATTACCCACAATGCTTCTCGCCCACGCAAGGGCCTCGATTGGCTCGCAGACTTGAGTGTGTCTGTGTGTACGTTTGAGTGCTGGAGGAGAACAACGCAGAGGTCAGATTTGTTCTGCCAGAGGGGTGGACTGCTTCTGTGGAGGGCTGTGGTTGTTTTTGGAGAGCAGTTCTGTCCGTCTTCACTGCTGCAGGTGTGGGACTGCATTAAAGTGCACTTGTGTTGCTATTAAACCGTGTTATACACACCCACACGCATGTCATGGGCCGCTCTAAACATACTGTACCTGAAATGTTAAATCAAAACGACCCTGTTTATTTTCTTAACACATGTCGTTTGTCTAATTGTGAACAATGTCAAATTAGATTATTTCACTTAGGCCTCATAAACTACATTGGCTTGTAGATAATGCTTACCAGTAGCCAGATATCTGTTTTGGATTTATTTTTGCAACACATTTGGGCTTCATGCTGTTATCTAATGGCCACCGTCCATTAAAATCTCAGTGGATAATTGGTAATTTTGGTGTGTGTGCTTTTAAGAGGCAGTGTGGTTTTAGTTTCATGGAGATAATATTACAGTTATTTCAGTCATTTTTATTTTGAGTATTTTTCTTTGTCATTTTTTTTCATATATATATATATATATATATATGTGTATATGTATATATGTGTATATGTATATATGTGTATATATGTGTATATATATATGTATATGTATATATATATATATATATATATTATAAATACCTGTACATATACAGTATATAAACACTGTAACCAACAGGGCACTCAGTAACAGAAAAACTTATCGGCTGAAGCTGATACCGGCTCAGTTATCGGCCTTGGCGATATATCGGTCAACCTCTAATCAGAATACATTAGCAATCACTTAAAAATGCCCTCACAAAGACCTGTAAGGCCCAAGCAGATAGCAAACACCAATCTTCTATAGAAAAGTGTAAAATTATAATCAGGGGTGCACATAAGCGGTATGTATGCGCAACCAAAATAAAAAAAATGTGCAAAAAGGTCATCACCATTTCAGATCGACTAATTGTAATACTGTATAAGATTTCCATTCAAACTGAATGCATAAATCTAGGCTATGTGTTGCCGGTATCAGATCAAAACGCAAATCTATGATATTTCATTCACTGACATCCTTCACTCGGCAGCACTACAGTGCCTGCAACCTGCCAAAATAACAGCTTGCTGATTTTAGGTTTGAAAATTTTCAATCCATTAAAACATTTTTGAATACATTAAAGAAGAAAAAAATTAATATTAGCATTGAATTTATGTGTACTATAAAATAATTATATTTTTATTTAATCAAATGTTTTTTATTTTGAAGTATAATAGTGTATAATAGTGTTATCAAACTTTACTTATTTTATTTGTTTTATTTGCAAAAAAAAAAAACGAAATTAAGTGCAATAATAATATTATTACTATTATTAATTATTAGATTTTTTACAGATGCATTTAATGGGTCACACTATGTGCAGTGCACCAAACCAAATACCAGAGAACCAGACTGAAAAAACTTACGTTCGCCCCTGGCTATAATGATATGATGTGGTACTGTTACCTTTCCAATAACAAAATGAATGAGAATTTAGTGTGTACGTGTGTGAGAAGATTTAAGAAGTTTAATTTTCTTTGGGATTATTATTATTAACTCCTCTTAGTGACCTAGAAATCGTGGCAGAGTTACCTGCGGGTTTATATATATATATATATATATATATGAGTCAGAGAGAAGTTCATCAGCGGTACAGGCCTCCATGAGCGCTGGAGTTAAGCTCTGATGGAGGTTGCTCTGCTCTGATTAGATTTAGATTAGATCAGATTTTCAGGGTTTAGATTTTAGATGAGATTTGCTGTGAAGAGCTCTTTCTCACCTTGCGACGGTGTTTGATAACACAGAGCAGATCGTACGGTCTCTGTGTCCCTGCACTACAGTAAACACCCCACTGCTTCACACCGCAGTTTGTGTGTTCAGGGTTTAGATTTTAGATGAGATTTGCTGTGAAGAGCTCTTTCTCACCTTGCGACGGTGTTTGATAACACAGAGCAGATCGTACGGTCTCTGTGTCCCTGCACTACAGTAAACACCCCACTGCTTCACACCGCAGTTTGTATGTGTGTGTGTGCGAGCTTCAGCCTTTGAATACTGAATGTAATTATAGGAACTTCATCGTTAAATTGCTCTCTCTCTCTCTCTCTCTTTCTCTGTGTGCTTTTCTTTCTGCTCCCTCACTCCAGCAGATGGAGAGAAAGGTAAGGCATAAGTGGTTTGATTTGTACATCCCATATCTGTCTCAACCTGCTTCCTGCTGCAGTACTGCATGCCTAAAAAGACTCTCTCTCTTTTACTCTTTCTTTCTCTTTTCTCTCGTCTCTTTCGCTCTTTTTTCTGTAATTTACTGCTGAATTTTTTTTTTCTAATCATCGTTTTTCTTTCATGTAATTTTCTTGCCATTGTGTTTGTACACCAGCTAAGAAATTATTTTTCATTGTTGAGGCACTTTTGCTTATGAAATAAATTAATCATGGCTGAATGTGATTTGCTCTATCTATAACTTTTGCATAATGCTGCATCTACGCTGCTATATGTTAGCATAAGTTCAAGATGACCAGCATAACATAAAAAAAAAAATCACTAATTTTTACTCACTTTTTGTTTCCTGGAAAACCCACTAGAATGTTAATGGTGATTTGATAAAGCATATTATTGAAATATTATTTATTATTTGGTTAATATTTAGTATGTGTTGAGTTGATAGCAGATTATTTATGCACACTGAAAAAACTATGGCTGTTAATAGAATAGCATAATTATGATTAATCTCATGATTTTTGACCATATTTCAAAGAACAGAATAATAATAGTAATGCCAAATTTTGTAAATATATTTAAAAATTCTTGCGATATGTATTTGTGTGTGTGTGTGTGTGTGTGTGTGTGTGTATAGTAATCATATCGCGAAGGGTTCTAAGTCCTATACACTTTATTTTGTGGCACAAAAGGCCATAAATAAAAATATTAAAATCAGTAAACATGGTTGTCAGTATATCTCCTCTCCGAGTGTGTTAGAAATTAGTGAGGGTCATTTCCAGTAGCTGAAGGTCAGGCGTGATGGAGGGGGGAGAGGCATGTGCGATAGGACAGAATCACGGATAAGACCATAAAGATTCTCTATTCTTCCACTGCTGATCTTATCGATTTGTCTCTTACATCCACACACGCGCTAAGCCTCTAACACACAGAGGTGTTTTAGTGAACATTCCCACATGAACCCTGTCATGAACTGATGCCCTTGGAATAATCAAAGGTCTGTGTCATCTTTCACAATACCAGCTACCTGAGGCCATAATGACTGCATCTACTGTGCTGCTACTGAGAAAATCTACGGTGCTGCTATGTGTAAAGACTTAGATTAGTTATAATTGTGGCTGAAGAAATATACACAAGTTATGTTATTAACTACCCCCAAAATTTAAATTCTGTCATCGTTTATTCTGCCTTATGTTGTTACAAACCTGACTTGCTTTCTTTCTTTCATGGAGCACAAAGGGAGAAATCTTTTCCATACAATAAAAGTAAATGGTGACCAGGGGCTATCAAGCTAAAATGATTTAAAGCACCATGCAAGTGCTCCAAATGTGCCATCCTCTGAAGTCTTGCAATAGCTTTTTTTTGTGAGGAAAAGGTATTTAAGTCATATTTAACTGCTAATCTCAAAATAAGTTTGCATATATTCAAATATGGTGTGTCCAGCTAAATTTTCCTATATTTGCTTGTTTTAAGAAACTGCTCAAAACTTTGAGTATAAGAACGGTGCATTATAAATAACATTGATCTATTAAATTTCTACATTTAATAGCATTATGTGGTGGAAATGTTTAAATTTTTTGGAATGAAATGGCAGACTCTTTTGTCTAATTTGTCAAAGGCTAATTTGATAGCTAGAACTTTATGTATCATAAATACACCAATTTATTCATATTTTTACACTTTTTAACAGATTTTTCCACAATAAACATATTATGATTTCCAATATTTAAACAAATACATTAACTTTTGGAAGGAAAAAAAAAACTTATTAGTGATGATGGAAATTACACCAATATTTATATTTTATGATTAAAGGTCTGGAACAAGGATAAAACAAGAAACAATACACTTTTAGTATAAGAAAGGTGCATTATAATGAACATTTATTACATTTATTTACATTCATTCTGTCTGTTCTTCATATAAAGCTATCAAATGACTTCAGAAGCTTCAAATATAGTGAACAAGCCATATTGTCAACTGTTAAATTATTTTTAAGGTGCTTTTTGTCATTTTCGTTGCTTTGGACCATTTACTGTCATTGTATGGAAAAGAGCAGGGTGAACACCATACTAAATATCTCTTTTTGTGGTGTACGGATGCTAGAAACTCTGTGAGGTTTTTTTTTCCTCTATAGTGTACTTAATTTGTACTGAAGCCAATTGTGTGTTTTTGTGTGTGTTTTCCACAGGCTAGACAGTTAGAGGAGAGAGACAAAGAGCTCCGGAAGCAGGACGCATTCTACAGAGAACAATTGGCCAAGCTAAAGGAAAGGGTATGACCTATACATTTGCAATTACATTAGCCACAATCCCTGAATACATAGCGATGAACACTAAAGCGCTACATTATCACTAACATGATATGATAACCGTAATGCTTGACAGTAACTCACTAATGCGCGGTGCAGAATGTGAGATGAGCTGTCCTGAGCTATAGAGGCAGAATGTGAGTCAGCCTGTCCTGTGTTATATAGAGGCAGAGGTGAGACAGGCTGTCTTGCTCTACAATACCATGGCGAGGCAGGCTGTCTTGATCTGTAATGTGTGGCTGAGGCCCCTCGGCAACCTTGTTCGCTCATTTGTTGTGTCCTCAAACTGACACCCTCCTGCAGCTCATGGTCAGATCCTCCTCTGAGCCTCTGGGATGGGAGGCGTCCACCTCTCCTCACCTCAGACTCTTCGTCCTCAAACGGGCATGCACATACTAAGCTCCCAGAAGGGGGTGTGAAAGTGTGCAAAAATGGTCGATCTCTGGTGATGACCCATTTTAAAGTGTAGGTTGTGTCCATAGGTGTTTCAATAGTTTAGCCCGTTGCTACCATATATCGGTGCTCATTCAACTCATTTAATCTGCAATTTACCTACTTTAGTATCAGCAAAGCACTAATGTATAAATGGGTTTTTCTGCAACTATGGGCCTTTTAGGCCTTGTGGACTTAAATTTGAAAAGCATTTTAAAATGTTTAAAATGATTGTAAGAAAATAACTTAAATTCTTAAAACACTCTTTTTAGTTTATGTTTTAACAATAAATTATGACATCTACAAATTAATACATTTATTTAGTAACAATATTAAACTTTGGGCATATATACGCAACAGGAGATGTCTATGTATTTATTCCCTAAAATGTCATAAACACTCATAAATCTCAAATTATGTACTATTATTAATAGCTTTCTGTGGTGGAAATGTTTATTTTATTTTATTTTATTTTGTAGTGTAATGTCAGATTCATCTTGTTAAGGCTAATTTGATAGCTAGCACTTTATGTATTCTAAATACACACAATTCAGTAATATTTTCAGAATTTTACAGCTTGATTTGAAATTATGCACATTATTATATATCTAATTAAATATCTAAACAACAGCCAATATGTAAACCAGTATGCTAACTTTTGAACCAATATGTAAACCAGTATGCTAACTTTTGAAAGAAAAAAAAAATCCTTTATTAGTAAATGAAAAGACACCAATTTTTTGTTTGATATTTGTATTTTACATGTATTTTACATGTATTTTTTTTGTATTTTACATTTTATATATATATATATATATATATATATGTGTACATTAATGAGGAAAAAAAATTAACTTAAATGATTTTAGCAAATGGCTGCAATATAACAAAGAGTGAAAAATTTAAGGGGGTCTGAATACTTTCCGTACCCACTGTATATGACTTTTAATGGGTTTTTTATCCGTATTCCAGACTTTTAATATTCATTCATTCATTCATTCATTCATTCAATTTTGTTTAGGGCTGCCCTCGAATAAGGATTTTTCTGATCGACTAGTAGTCGTTCATTTGAAGCATTAGTCGACTAATCGCACATTTATTAATAAACCATTTAAATCATTATAATGAGCCTTTAATTGCCTACATAACCTAATAAGCGCTCAAGCACACGCATAAATCTTGCCACAGTGCACCGCAGAAGTAATGATTATGAGTGTGTCAGGGAAAAACAGTAAGGAGACTGCATTAACATTTTAATAATTTGATAAACTAGTGCTTTCTTTGTTTTTGGATTAAGAGATGAACTCGGCGACACTGACTCGTCATCTCCGCAGTAGTGGACGTGCCTTTATGCATGTTTCATACGGATTAATCTGAGAATAGGCTATTTGTTTTCCATTTGAATTGGTTCATTTGAAAGTAGACATTTCACTCTCTATAGATATATTTTTAATGTCTGTAAGGCAAAGATATACACGGAGTTTCGCGCTCAAGTTCACAGAGACTGAGACGGCAGAAAGCGCATCATGTTTGCTTTCATTATTTTACAAAAGCGCATTTTGTTGTTATTGTGAGTGCTCACAATTAAACGTAGAGTCTTTACAGATTTGAAAGATGTATTACTCTTATCTGTATGACCAAAAATTACGGAGTATTTTAAGAGCAAGTGAGCGCACCGGTGCCTCAATCTGTCCTGCAGTGAGAGCGTTACTAGCTTCCACACTCCGCACAGACACTATAGCGCACATTTCTCTAGGTTAACATTAGATTGAGCGGCCATGTAAAGTTGCTAATACTTACATATTTCAGATGATAAGCCATATTTGAGGTCGATGAATGATAGGCGAGCATTTGGATGTCCTGCCCGATGTACTGTATTACCATAGACCAGCAGTTAACGATCTGTCCGTCACAGACTGCGTGACTTCACCTGTGAAATTTTTTATTTTTTTTTTCTGTGACTAAGCGACTAATAAAATTTTGGTCGACCAAGCCTCTTCTGGTCGACTATTAGGGGGCACCCCTAATTTTGTTGTTGAAGAAACAACCAAAAACATGATTGCAACAAACTAGCAGAGCACCTGCCTTTAACACAATTACATTACAGTACATGTTGTTGTCTAAATGCACAGTATAATCAGTGCTGATCTGGACCAGTCAAGTCCAAAAAAGCTGCTCAAAAGCTTCCATTATGATTGATTTACTGTAACTGTGTTTTGTGTTTGTTTGCACGCAATAAAAGGATTCTGTGGTTATCGCCAGCATGCCACAAATGAAGTCCATAGACATTAGTTTAGAAAATAACCCAGAATATTCTTTTAAAGCTCCATTTACGTCAGTCATTAGACTTATCCTGTGTCCATGAAACTAGCTGATCTTGCACACGGCAGCTAGCTTTAGTTCAGTCTCTCTGTCTCTATACAAGGACAGCTCTCGGACCATTTCAACTCTGCATGCGGAGGTGTTATTGACCGCTCGAAGCTTCATCAATCACTTAACAATCTCTGTTCAATATTCCCGGCACTATGTCAACATATACACAAACACATACACAGTCCTCAACCCTTCTGAGAGAGACACACACTCAGCTGGACTCTAGTGTGTCTGAGCCCAATGGATTGGTGAATCAGGATTTATTGGTTAGACATCATAAATAATAAATGCTCTGGGTTTTACACAAGGCGATGGCTTAGAAAAGAGTAAGGACCATATGCAGTAAACCATCCTATTCTATATGCAAGAACCATCATATGCCGATGAGTTAAAATATGTGTTAATAATAATAATAATAATTGTTTTCAATAATGAAAATAAAAATTATTCTTTAGAATAAATAATCAGAGATGTAATCGTATTATTCACTGAAAATGTTGACTTGCTGCCTTTTTTTAATTTATAAAAAAAATTGTTGAATATAATTTATTTATTTGAAATTAATTAAAATAATAATAATAATAGTAGTAGTTAATTAAAGTAAGTACTGAGTAGTCAAAATAGGTTTTATTATTTGCAAATGTTGACTTGTGGCCGAGTTGTCTTTTGTGTTGTTGTTGTTGTTGTTGTTTTTTTAATTCAATGTCTGATTTGTGATTGACTTATTGAGTATTGTGAAACAGATTAATGGATTCATTTATTTAAAAAAAAAAAAAAAAAGCATGCCAAGGAGAGGTATGACAGATATCAAGATATTCAGCAAATAATTACTTACATTTACAACACATTTTCTCATACAAACAGTTTTTAGATGATTTGTAGTATAGCATATGATTCATATGGAACAATTTTACAATACTTTATTGTGCTTTGTGTCCTTTTTGTGGCCATTTGTTGTAATTGCATGGAAAAGAGCAACCAGTATATTCTTCAAAATCTTTCACGTAACAAAAAAGAAGAGAGAGAATGTAGTGCTGACCAAAAATTTATATCACGGTATTTTTCAAAATTATACCGGTTTCACGGTCATGTATTTTTCATGCATGACCGGGTGTTAACCATATTTTCTACTGATTGAGAGAGGAAATACTACAGTATATTGACTTAGAATGCCCTATTATACTGTCATGATGAGTGAATATTGTCAAAA